TCTACTCCAAATTAAAGAATAGTAAATTATTTATTAAAGATAATTTATTAACGAAAGTGTATTTTTACTTTTTCTATAGTTACCAATAATAGGTATTATTACAAAAAGTATTGATTTTTGATAAAATTGTTTAATAAATTATTTGAACACGTTACACCGTTTATTAGTTAATTAATTTTTCAACAAATTACATATTTTGTAATGTAAGAGTATTGTTTTAAAGGATAAGTTTTGCAATAGTACTTTAAATATTAAGTTTTTTAAGCCGAAATCTCTGCAGAAAACGTATAGGTTTTCTTTATGTAGGCCTATAATAACTAAAAAAAAACATAAAAAAATGATTTGTTACAGTACCGAGAGAAATCTTATTTCCCTAATTATGAACTAAATTGTTGTTGGAACAAAAAATATGTATATATATATATATATATATATATATATATATATATATATATATATATATATATATATATATATATATATATAGTTTATGATGTTTTGTTTGTATATGAGCAATGAATGTTTAAAATAAAATATATGAATATAGGGTTTTTATCGCGGTTCTCAAAGAATTAGTTTGCAAGTAACTTGTAGTCTTTATTGTAACTATTATGAAACAGATATATATCTAATATAAACAATATAAATTTGAAACAACCTATCTAAAATTTGAAATTCTTACAATGATTCAATTATATTAACAAAATTTGGTACCTTTCTATCCCTGAATGCCTAGAGTTTTCCAAAATCAACGTTACAATCACCACTAAATATCTTCTTAATCAGCTTCGGTTATCCTTTTATTTGTAAAATTGCATATAGATATAATTTAAAATTCTTGTAATTTCCATATAATATACTATACTCCTGTATTGAACTATCTGTATTGAATTAATTTACTCTCATACTCTCCAACTGAATTTGACTTAAAAAATTCTTCTAAGTTAATCCTTTCTTCTAATTTAATTTAATTATAAATGTCTTGAACTAACTTTCTTGATAAATCTAATTTAATGACTTAATTGTAACTGACTGACTGACTTCATCTCACTTAATCCTTTTTTCTAACTTAATTTAACTTAATCACTTCATGAATTCTTCTAACTTAATTTAACTTAATCACTTCATGAATTATTCTAACTTAATCAATTGTAACTGACTGACTGACTTCATCTTAGTTAATGCCTTCTACTAACTTAATAATTGACTGTAACTGACTTAGTAACTGTAACTTATTTTAATGCCTGCCTGCTCCAAATTACCTCGTATTTATATCATTTTATCGTTCCTGACTGTTCTAACAATAAACCATGTTCGAAACTCTTCATCTCATACATATAGGAAAGTTCTGGAATAATCGACTATGCAAATAGGGCTAACTGCCTTGTATATTGACCTTTTCCAGAAAATTTTAGTTAGAATCTTATGGACATTTAGCCTTCAGATCAGAATACACTATTATATATAAACTAAATATCTTAAAATAATACATTATCACTATTTTATATCCGTAATTATATTTAAATTAAACATCCCAAACTAATAAATAACCCCACTTCACATCCGCAACTATCCAAAATATCAAATAACACAGTGTATATTTGGTTGCCTATGCACATGGCTCAATTAAATGTGTTTATAATTTAAAAAACTTTTAACATGTATTATTATGCTAAATTCTTAAAAATACCCTCATATAATTATTTTTTTAATAATATTCGCTAGTATATAACTTATAAATTATGTCTTTAATCATTATTTAAGTTTATTAATTATTAAAAATCATTATATTTCTATGCTAATTTCTTGTATATCTATTATTATTCCAATACCCCAAAATTAATTTTAAAATAAATAATTCATTTATTATTTTTTTAAATATTAATTTCTTTCCATACACATTCGTAAATATAGTAATTAATATAATTAAATCATTTAATTTTCTATCTAAAATTACCTTATACTGCGCCCTGCGCCTATGTTTTATGTCAACTGTCAAATTTCATGTCAATTGGGAAATATTGTGTTTACAAAAAGGATAAATAATAAATTTCTACAATGTTTGTTTATTAATAGATAAGATTTAGGAAACCATATTCCTTGTTTTCGTTCAAAAAAAAAACTTTCTTTAATATAAATGGTAAGTTTTACTCTTTCATATTGCCTTTAAAAAAATATTTACACAATTAATCTTATACATAACCCCAATTAAAATTATATTATAAATTATATTATAAATTCTTTTATAGAAGACAGAAGTATAAAAAAATAGTAAATGGTAGAGATGTAATATCCTTCATAAAAATAGGTAGGCTTAGATGGGCTGGACATGTGTCAAGAGCAAATGAAAATTACCCACCCAGACAAACTCTATTATCGGTCCCAGTGGGAAATAGGAGTAGAGGCAGACCACGACTGAGATGGAGGGACGGTGTGGACGAGGACGCAAGGAAAATCGGCGCGGCAAATTGGCAACGGTTGGCGATGAACAGAAACGACTGGCGAAATAGACTGGGAAGGTCAAGGCTCAACTAGAGCTGTAGCACCACTGATGATGATGATAAATCTTTTATATCTAACTCTAATTAAAATTATGATTTTTAGGACCCAAACAAAGGACACATTCAACACCTGCTCAGAGAAATACCAAAAAAAAATTGATGTTAAATGATATCATCTGTCTTTTTCAACAAATCAAGTCTGTCTGTCTCAACAAATCAGATAACTGTTTGTAGTGCTATCAGTGTTTAGTGAACTGTTTGTAGTTATTATTTACTGTAATCAGTGTTAAAAATGTAGAAAACATTATTCAATCTCTTCATGGTATTTGAAAATGTCATTAATATGAAATATCCCTCTAATTCTATTGTCTGCATCTATCAACACATAACTGTTTTGTCCATTATGATTTTCGATTCTGTATAGACCTTGAAACATTGGTTGTAATTTCTTACAACCGTTTTCTCTCAAATTATCTTGTCTAAGTGAACGAATTAAAACTTTTTCTCCTTTTTGAGATGTGATTGGTTTTTTAATTTTTAGATTTTGATTCTGATATATTTTTCAGCTTTCCTTTGAATTCTTCTGTTCACCCTTTGCTTGACTTGTTCCAACATTTCGTGGTTATATTCACTGATCCATTTTCTGTTTGATATATGTCCAAACATTAAATATTCTGGTACTTCCTCTGTATTTAAATTAAGTGTATTATTTAAAAAATATTCCACTTGTTTGATATGTTCTTGCCATCTCAAATGCTGATCCTGGCATAGTATCCTTAATAATTTTATAACTGCTTTAATATATCGTTCTGCAGGATTTGCTTGAGGATGTCTGATACTTGTAAAATGAATATTGATCCCCCTTTTCTCACAGAATGTCTGAAATTTTTGGTTGTTAAAATATGTAGCGTTATCTATTACGCAATCTTTAAATGGTCCTATTTCTTCGAAAAACTGATTAATATATAATTTCAATGTTTTAACATTTGTTCTTGAGCATGGTTATAGTTTAATAAATTTTGTGTATAAATCAACTATCACTAGTATATGCTTGTTTCCTGTTGGACTGGGAACTAAATTTGAGATGAAATCCATGGCAACTGTATTTAGTTTTTCATATGCAACATTGGATTTATATGGTTCTGGTTTTTGAAATTCTTTTCTTTGTTTATTTGACATATTTGCCATTGGGTAGTGATTTCTTTTGCTATACTTATGTCATTCTTTGCAAAATAATTATCTCTAAATAACATCCATAGTTTTCTTGAACAAATATGCATGTAACTTTTATGTAAATCTTTTAATATCTTCCTTGCCAAAGTTCTATTTATTATATATACTTCTAAGCCATTAATTATCTTATAGTACACTTAACTCGTAACTTACACGTAATCTCTTATGATTTCTTCTTTAGAATATAATCCAGTGTTTTCTACTAACTGATTTAATCCAATTTTTATTGTTCGCTGCTCTTTTTGTGATGTATTCTCTAACCTTGATAAAGCATCTGCCACTATGTTAGATTTTCCAGAAATTTATTTAATTTCAAAACTGTGTTCACTCAGTATTAGGCTCCAACGGTGTACTCGACTGTTTCCATATTTGTTATTTAATATATATGTTAAAGCTTGGTGATCTGTCTCTATAGTAAATTCATTACCCAACAAATAAAGTCTTAATTTTGTGACACAATGTATGATACTTGCTAGTTCTAGTTCTGATACTAAATAACCTTTCTCATGTGGCTTTGTAATTCTTGAGATAAATTGTATCGGGTATTCGACCCCATCATGTATTTGTAGTAATACCCCTGATAATCTCTCTATTGAGGCATCTGTTCTTAATATGAATGGCTTTGTATTGTCAGGATGGTATATTTTCAAATTTGACAGAAAAATGTTTTTGATTTCTTGGAATGCTAGTTCTCTTCGTTGATCCCATTTCCATTTTACACCTTTACTCAACAGTTTAAGTAATGGAATTTCTTTTATACTTAGATCTGGTATAATCCTTTTATAATAATTAATTATTCCAATAAATCATCTTAAAGTTCTTAAATTGTGTGGTGTTTTATATTCCTGAATAACCTATGTTCGTGTGTTCGTTCTGGATCCATTTCAATTCTCTTAGTATTAAGTTTATAACCTACATATATTACTTCTTTTTGGAAAAATGTACATTTTTCTTGATTTATTTTTAGTCCAACTTTGTCTAAGTCATGCTCTTCAGCCGTTTTAGAAAAAATTAATAAATCATCAATATAGTGAATTACAAATTGTTCATATTGACCCAAAATATCATGAAGATATCTACATAGAGCACTGCAAGATGATTGAAGTCCAAATGGTACTACTTTGAATTGATATACTACTCCATCTATCTGAAATCCTGTATACTATCTACTTGTTCTTTCTTGAGGTATTAACCAAAAACTATGCTGTAAATCGATTTTAGTGAAAAATGACATTCCTGTAATGCTTCCTAGTATTCCATCGATACTCATTGGTGCTTCAAATTGCTTTTCAGTGATCTTGTTAATATTCCTTGCATCCAAACATAGCCTAATTTCACCTGATCTTTTACGTACTACCACTTAAAACTTTTATTATATCTTCTCCTTTACAAATAAAATTATTTTTTATTTTGCAATCATTATTCCTTGCTTCCAGTTTTACGCACTTCACCTCGTAGGCATCCATCTGCTTAAAATTTTCATTCCTTAAATATTTACTACAATTATTCTTTACATTCTTTTAGGACATTTCCCTATCATCAAAATACGGTTCTTCTTCATAAACATCATTGCTTTCTTTTAAAAATATCCTATCAACTCTTATTTCTTCTTCCACATCATTTTTCTGCATAAACTTAATTATTTGCCCTTCCAAACTTTTTCTTTAAAATCTATCTTTACTTTCTTCTTTTCCAATTCGTCATTTTCCATTAATATATCAACACATAAATCCTTGACAACAAATTATTGCATATTAATTTCTTGGTTAATAATATTAATTTTAAAATTGGCTAGTTTATCAATTTCACCCAACTTCTTATTATTTGCACTAACAATTTTAATTTTTTGAATCTTTATTATATCTGATAGTTTTAATGTATTAAAAATAAAATTTTCCGAGACTAAAGTACTGTCTGAACCAATATCTATCATAATCTTAATCATTTTATGTTTGGCCATAGCATTTATATAAATTAAATTAATAGATTCAATACCTTTATCTTCATCTAAAAAAATAAATTTAGAAGGTTTTTCATAATGACAATGGCCCAACTTGTAATTCAGAAAGTTTACTGCACAAAATTTGGATTGTAAGAATTGGCAGATTGTATCTGACCACTTGGATCTAATATCCTGTGTATTTCACTACTATGACTTCTACTCATATTTTCCTGCCTTGTACTATTTCGTTCACTATTTTCACAGCTTCTATTCTTTCGTACATGATTTACCTGTCTGTTGTAATTAGGTCGTTCTGTATTTCTCCTATTGTTAAAATCTTGTCTATTATAATTAGTATTGTTATTAACATTTTGTCTATTGTAACTAGTATTATTATTAAAATTTTGTCTATTTTGATTATTATTATTGTTATTAAAATTTTTGCATATTATTACCATATCTATTATTATCATATGATTGTCTATATGGTTGATTATTATTCTTATTATATTGAAAGGTATTATTATTTTGTCTATTATTATTATTATTATTCATCCTAATATCATTGTTATCATTATTACTTGTCATATTACCTCTTTGTATTCTTTGAATAAAATTAATAAAACTATCTATTGTTTGAATATTTTGCACAGTACCTGTTTGTACAACATTGGCATCAAAATGTCTTGATACATTTAAAACTGTTTCGTCCTCTCTAAGTGGTGGTTCTAAATATTTTGCAAATGTTATCAGTTTTAATGCATAATCTACCATATTTGATCTTAATTATTATTAAACTTTCCAAAATAGAGAACTTCCCTAAATCTAGCTTGCTCTAATTCACCCCAATAATAATTTAAAAATTTATTTTCAAATGTTTGAAAATTATCCAAATCATTCTCAACACTGGCGAACCAAGTTGCCGCATTGTCACTTAATGTCATTCTAATATAATCTTTAATATCATTAATATTATTCACTAATCTTAATAAATATTTTAAACTATTTATGTATACTCTAGGATGCAAATTTTTTATATTACCAGAGAATTTCATCCCAGTGTCATTTCTTAAATTTAAGTAAGGTCTCCCTATATCTCTCATTTGTGAAATATCATCTATTCTCTGTTCCACATTTCTTATTTGATTACTATTTATTTGGATGTTTTGTTGTATATCGTGTAATTTTTCTTCTGTCTTTCTCCTGTTTTCGTTAATTTTAACTTCTAAGTTACATTTCTGCAACTCTATTTTCTGTTCTATATCTATCATATTATCTTGAATATTCCTATTTACTTCTGTTCTCTCATTTTCTATCCGGTTCTTGTAGTCATGCTGTATATTTTTATTTCATTTGCTACTTTTTTTCTCTGCAGCTTCAAGTTTTTTATCTATTTGTTTTTCTATTTGTTTTACAATTTTATTATTATTATCTTCTATTTTCTTTTCTAATTTCTTATAATTCTCTTCCATTTTTTTCGAATTCTCTTCCATTTTTTTCGAATTCTCTTCCATTTTTTTCGAATTCTCTTCCATTTTTTTCGAATTCTCTTCCAATTTTTGTTCCATTTTTTTTTCATATCTTCTTTGACTTGTTTTGAATGCCCTTCCAATTTCTGTTCATTTTTCTTATGTCTTCTTTGACTTCTTTCGAATCTTTTTCCAGCGTCTTGTTCATCTGCATCATTATTGACATCAGAGCTACCATATTAACATTTTCTCCTCTTTCTTGATTCATTTCCACTGGAACTTCGACTAAACTCTCCTCTTGTACAGCTTGTGTTTCTATTTCCACATCTTGTTCTTTGGTTTTGTTTCTTGTACCTTTTTTTCCTTGAGACATTTTGAGACTTTACTTGTTCAAATATAATTAAAAATAAAATCTATATTTTTTTTATGAAAATTAATTTAATTCTGTGAGAGCACTTATCTTCCCAAACTAATTCTTTTAAATAGAGATCTCCGCGGTGGGCGCCAAAATTGTTATGTGTTGATAGATGCAGACAATAGAATTAGAGGGATATTTCATATTTATGACATTTTCAAATATCATGAGGAGATTGAATAATGTTTTCTACATTTTTAACACTGACTACAGTAAATAATAACTACAAACAGTTCACTAAACACTAATAGCACTACAAACAGTTAACTGATTTGTTGAGACAGACAGACTTGATTTGTTGAAAAAGACAGATGATATCATTTAACATAATTTTTTTTTGGTATTTCTCTGAGCAGGTGTTGAATGTGTCCTTTGTTTGGGTCCTAAAAATCATAATTTTTAATAGAGTTAGATATAAAAGAATTTATAATATAATTTTAATTGGAGTTATGTATAAGATTAACTTTGTAAATATTTTTCTAAAGGCAATATGAAAGAGAAATTACCATTTATATTAAAGAAAGTTTTTTTTTTAACGAAAACAAAGAATATGGTTTCCTAAATCTTATCTATTAATAAACAAACATTGTAGAAATTTATTATTTATCCTCTTTGTAAACACAATATTTCCCAATTGATATGAAATTTGACAATTTGAAAGTTGACATGAAACATAGGCGCAGTTCGCAGTATAAGGTAATTTTAGATAGAAAATAATAAAAAATAATAATAAAAAAATAATAAACGAATTATTTATTTTAAAAATAATTTTGGGGTATTGGAATAATAATAGATATACAAGAAATTAGCATAGAAATATTATGATTTTTAATAATTAATAAACTTAAATAATGATTAAATACATAATTTATAAGTTATATACTAGCGAATATTATTTAAAAAATAATTATATGAGGGTATTTTTAAGAATTTAGCATAATAATAAATGTTAAAAGTTTTTTTTAATTATAAACATATTTAATTGAGCCATGTGCATAGGCAACCAAATATACACTGTATTATTTGACATTTTGGATGGTTGCGGATGTGAAGTGGGGTTATTTATTAGTTTGGGATGTTTAATTTAAATATAATTACGGATGTAAAATAGTAATAATGTATTAGTTTAAGTTATTTATTTTATATATAATAGTGTATTCTGATCTGAGAAGCCTAAATGTCCATAAGCTTCTCACTACAATTTCCTGGAAAACGTCAAAATACAAGGCAGTTAGCCCTATTTGCATAGTCGATTATTCCAGAACTTCCATATATGGATGAGATGAAGAGTTTCGAACATGGTGTATTGTTAGAACAGTCTGGAACGATAAAATGATATAAATACGAGGTAATTTGGAGCAGGCAGGCAATAAAATAAGTTACAGTTACTAAGTCAGTTACAGTCAATTATTAAGTTAGTAGAATGCATTAATTAAGATGAAGTCAGTCAGTCAATTACAATTGATTAAGTTAGAATAATTCATGTAAGATATGGCTTAAAATAAACACTAGAGATCTTTCGTATGGCTGTTTATTTAAGAATACATAACACAAGTGTCTCCATAACTTCTAACCTAAGTGTTGCGGCTGCTACCGTCAGGCGCCTAGGTGACAACTGTCCTAACAGGTAACTGTCATTACCATTACCTTTTAGGACTTCAGCCACCTTTACATATGGCACATATTACATCTCCCCCTTTTTACAAAATTCAGTTTTAAAGGTGGGTTAACAACTCTACCTGATTTAGTTCTATAATTATCTGCTTGTTCAGTGACATTATTTTGTATGTCAGTAGAGGTAGCAACTCTGCCTCTGTTGTCTGTGTTGAGGATGAGGTTCTTGATCTAAATCTACATCACTTGTATTCGTAAGTATTGTAGTTGGTTGTGACTTAAATCTATTTAGGGATTCTCTAATATCTACTCTATTGCGACGGACAATATTATTATGCTCATCTCTCAAGATATAAGACCTTGGAGCTTCATGCTGCGATACTATTTGGGCTGGTTCCCACCTCTTTTGACATTGATTGTACATAACAACATCTGTCTCAGATTCTAACGACTCTAAATCCTTAACACCTTGGTTATAGTCTCTAACATACACATTTCTCCTTTTACTTAATTTTTCTTTCACATTTATGCATAAAGCTGGTTTTAAACATATCTTGATCAATAGGTAATTTGGTTCTACAGTGTCTGCTCATTAAGAGTTGTGAAGGAGTATAACCAATGTGTTTAAGGGGTGAATTCCTATATTGTAATAATGCTGATTCAACATCAGACCTATCATCAATAGACTTTTTAACAATACTCTTAGCAATTGCTACACCTTTCTCAGCAAGCCCATTTGACCGCGGATAATTGGGACTTCTAAACTTAATTTGAAAATTCCATTCTGTAGCAAAGTTTTTAAAATGATAGCTATTAAAAGGAACATTATCACAGCATATATAAGCTGGTGAACCATGTATAGCAAACATTGATTTTAGAACTTTAATGACAGAAAAAACAGATTTGTCTTTTATCGAGTGAAGCTCTATCCAGTTTGAAAAAGAATCATAAGCGACTAGATAACTTGTACCATAACATGTGAAAATGTCAATGCCGATTCTTTCCCATGGATATTCTGGTAAAGGGTATGGACATAATGTTTCCCTTTGTTGCTTCGATCTAAACTTTTCACAAGATTTACATCTTTTTATATAAGTCTCTATATCAGAGCTCATTCCTGGCCAGTAAAAAATTTGCCTGGCTCTAGCTTTTGATTTTTCAATACCAATATGACCCTCATGCACTAGCCTTAACATTTCAGATCTTAAGCTTTTGGGAGCAACAATTTTATTCCATAAAATAACAAGTTATCACAGACACATAAGTTGTCTCTGAGCTTAAAAAAATTATTAACTATCTGTGGCACATCACGCTTGTGTTCTGGCCATCCCTGTATGCACAGGTTTATAACAGTTTGCAATTGCTCATCTTTTTGGGTTTCTATTCTAAACTCTGATTTTCTAGTATCAGACATAGCAACATTATTTACTACAGCATGAACTGCGAACTGAAATTCAGCATCTGACTTCAGACCTCCTTCTTGTAAAAATGCCCGAGATAATGTATCTGCAATGTACAGATACTTTCCAGGTTTATATACTACATTTAAGTCATAATGCAATAGCCGTAAAACGCATTCTTTGCAAACGTGGAGATAATGCACATATATATCTTTACGAACTATTGATTCTAGAGGTTTGTGATCACAACTAACAAGCACATTGTGACCATACACAAAATAATGAAATTTTTGAAACGCAAAAACTATTCCTAACATTTCTTTCTCAATCTGAGCATATTTTTGCTCAGTTGTGCTTAAGCTCCTAGATGCAAAGGCTATGGATGGCCACCTTGCAGCAAACAAGCGCCTAACCATCTTTACTGGCATCAGTTTCAATTTCTATTTCTTTAGATGGGTCAAAAAATGTTAGCACTGGTGATGCTGTTAGCAAATGTTTTAATTGAAACAAAGATTTATCATGAATACCAGTCCAGTGCCAAGGGACATCTAATTTTGTTAGTTCTCTTAATGGGGCTGTGACTTTTGACATGTTAGGTACAAATTTGCCCAAAAACTTTGCCATCCCCAATAGTCTCATTAGATCAGATTTATTATCAGGTGTTGGCATTTCTAGAATAGGTTTTACATATACTTGATTTAATTCAACACCTTGTTTGGAATAAATCTGACCTAAAAATTTAACACTACTTAACTTGAATTGAATTTTTTCCTTATTGAATCTAAGGTTGTGCTTTAGGGCCCGTTCTAGTACAAGGCGAAGGTTTTGGTCATGCTCTGCTTCATTAGCACCTGTAATAATCAAATCATCAAAATATAGACCAACACCTTCAATGTCACCAAATATTTCATAGTTTTTTCTTTGAAAGACTTCTGGGGCTGAGCATATTCCAAAAGGTAAACGACAAAATTGATACCTACCGAAGGGAGTGCCAAAAGTACAATAATCTGCACTCTGATCATCAAGTTTAATTTGAAAGTACCCATCTTTCATATCCAGAACTGAAAAATACTCTTTGTTACACAATTTTGCAGCAATTTCATCTGCTGTGGGTATCAAAAAGTATTCTCTTTTAATAGCTTTGTTCAGGTATTTAGGGTCTAAGCACAACCTTAAATCCTTGTTTTTCTTTTCCACAATTACAAGTGGGTTTAACCACTCTGTGGGTTTCTCTACCTTTCTGATAATACACTCATTTTCTAGTTGTTTTTAATTTATCTTTTAGTTTCTTATGTAATGCATGAGGAACCCTACGAACTGGTTGAACATGAGGGACTGCACCTTCTGTCAATGAAATGTGATAATCATTAGGGAATTGTCCAAGCCCCTGAAAAACTGTGGGATATGCTTCTACAACTTTAGCCATAGTTTTGAAGTCTACATCTAAACTTTCTACTCGCTTAATGAGATTAAGACTAATACAAGCATCTAACCCCAACAAAGGTACTTGGTTCCTGAACATCAACAACAATAAATTTAATATCTGAAGATGCAGCCTCTACTTGCAATTAATTATAATTTCTCCTACAGGTTTTATTTTAAAATCATCATTACCATAAGATACTATTGTAACATTACTTTTATTTATTTTTTGTATACCAAGATTTTTAATATACTCAAGAGGCAGAACATTTACTTCTGCACCAGTATCTAACTTAAATTCTACTATGCAATTTTTTACCTGAACTTTCTGTTTCCAGACATTCTGAGAACTTCCAGATTTCAATAAGCCTACAGTTTTGACACAATTGATAAACAACTCACTATCATCACTTTCACTACCACTATGTTGGTTTTTTACTTC